AGAAAGTAAAAATTTTAATATAAACAGACAATGTAGTAACGTTCGACTAAGGTTTTGTACATCATCAGGTACCAAGTACGTTGTACTATTTGCTGTTATATAAAGTTTTTCTTCATTACCCATTCAAGCCGTCTCCAGCCATTATTAGTCTCAAAGTGGGTTCCTCGTCATCGAATTTGAAATGCTCACTTGATCCAATGGAAAAAGATGGGGCTGCAGCCAACTTGAAGAGGACTGAGAACCAAATGTTTGACCACTGCAGACAAACCAAAGGAAGTGAAAGGTAGTCAGAAAGTGTCTGAGACCTCGAACTGGGACACCCACAACTGAGGAGAGTATTCGGTGAGCAAGAAAATTTTTTATTGAGAGCCAAGGGAAGACCAAAGTTTGGTCAAGTGGGACAGATTGATGACTGACCAAAAACCTCTTGCCTTCAAGGGAATGACAAAAAAGTCGAGAGTAAAAACCCAGAGTAGCATTGAGAAACTGTTCCATGATGTTCAAAACAGATGAGGTGGAGAGCAGAAGGGTTGGAAAAAAAAACCTGAGAAAACACCCGAGGAACTCAATAGGCTGCAGAAAGGGAGAGTCCAAAAGTATACAAAATGGGAGAGCAGAGCTCCCACAGGACTGGAGCCAAGAGGTGGCTCCAGAAACAAAATACTTCTAAGACCAGCATTGGCCAGCATACAAAGAGAGGGACCATGGATAGTGACAAGAGGGAAAGGAATAGGAAAGGGTACAACCCCAAGAGGATGTATACGATTAAACCTGGTGGGGCCTTTTTGTCTTAAAGTCAGTAGAGATGATTGCTGATGAGCTACATAGGCTGAAAATGTTAAAGTATAAAAAATATTTCTCCCAAAATGACATCACAAAGAAAGGGTACAAGACAGAGGTTATGGAGAGAAAGTACAACCCATAAACAAAGAAACCAAGTTAAATGAGACATAATGGAAGAAAATCGAGAGCAAGGTTGAAAACGGGTACCTGCAAATTGCTTCAGTAAACCTAACTGGGTCGTGATGTAAAGTCTATCAAAGAAAATGGAGCATATTTGGTTAATAGAAAACCATATGAAAAATAATTAAAATTGATAAGTTTAAAATTCGGTATGGTTCTTTCATGTAGTCAAGATTATTAAACAAAGAAAGATTATGATGTGATTAATAAAGAAAGTTTACAATAATAATCACAAAAGTTCCAGTAATTCCTATGAAAAAAAAACACATCTGAAGACAAGCAATTCTGAAGAAATAATGAGTCTTTTTTTCAAATGCTAGTGCTCATGGAGATTAATGTGCATGGAGGATGTATCACTCACTCTCCTATTGGTGGACGGTTGGTCTAATGATAATTACATCATAGGCTGGCACAGTAAATGTTAACATATGTAAGGGTAGGAACTAAACTTAAGACTTGTGGTGTGCACAAAAAATCTTCATGGCAATGCATGATGTAATAGCTGTTTGTTGTGCAGAGAGATGAATAATGTTTCTGAAACAGTCTCTTTACCTGTTTATTCTTTTATGAAATGAGGATGCATACGAGAATGAAACATATTCTTTACTTATTTGTTCTTTATGGAATGAGGACAAGAATTAAAACAACTTCTTTACTTATTCTATTTGGTACAAGAATTAAAACAACTTCTTTACTTATTCTATTTGGTACAAGGATGAAAACAATTTCTTTATGTGTTTATTCTTTATGGAATGAGAATGTAGACAAGAATTATAACATAGACACTTGAACTATGGTACTTAATGACTAGAGAGATGTAATGTTTCCCTGCCTTTAAATGATTGCAATGATCCTAAGTATGTTAGAGGAGTCAGTTTACAGTTATTTATAAAACTAATGACTTTTTTTTGTAAATTCTGATTTATAAATATTAGAATTAAGGAATAGTAACTAATACAAAAAAACTACATTAGGTTAATGGTGTTGGTTGAATGGGACTTTCTTCACATAATAAAAAAAATGTGTACAAAGTGCAATGACTTAAAAACATAAAGCATATTTGTTAACATAAATATATATCTTGGGTTATGTAGTACACAAATTATGACCATATTACATTATCAGCTGAAAACTTGAATTTCTCTTCACTAGGAAGGAAAGTATGTGCTTTGAAATTATTTGTTCTGACCAACAAATGTTAAGCAGCTATTCTTCAAGCACAGTTATTGTATTATCTAGACAAAAATTGGCACTTCATCTAAACTGAATTAAGTGACTCCAGCCCTGAGTTCATTGAATCTTGTTCAGACACACTAATTTGGGAGATAGATGAATTGTCACAGATTGATGATTGCACTGGCCACATGGAGTATGGAGGAGGATGAAGAAAAATAGCACGTGCTATGACAGCTAAGATGAAAGCTTCTCCTATAATAACTGCAGAACTTATATCTGTAAGGACAGAAACATGAATGATGCCTCTATAAGTTATTGTACAATTTCTTCATATATTACTTTTAACATGAAATATTTTTAATGTTTCTTATTAAATACCTCCTGCAGAGTTCTGCCCAGGAATGTTTGAGTACCAGGTTATTCTCCTGGTCAGCTGCAAAGATGAAAAGCAATACTATGGGGTGTCTGGAGGCATGCAAATTGAATCTTATGCAAAGAACAGTCAAAATGTTCACAAAAAATACTTTTTGGACTTTTTGTATGTAAACTTGCCACATTTAGCAACTTTTATTGATGTTTGAGTGGCAAGTGCATACAAAGGGAGAGTTGGATATTGCTGATAAGTGGCAGATATATCGCCTGGTACTACCTATCATGGGCAGAAT